TGGCAGGGGGTCGGACTAGATGATCTGCCTAGGTCCCTTCCGACCCTAGAAACTATGAAACTATGAAAATTTTCCTTTTGTAATGACTCTTTTGTCTTTTGAGCTGAAGAATACTCTGGTCAAAAGATATCTTTCTGGTAAGCAGAACTGTGGGTGAAGTTGTGACTAAAGCAAATAAGAAATAGGCATACAATTTATTTTAAAATATTGCTATTATTTAGGGTGTTTTTAAAGCATTTAAGCAAAGTCCAAGTAATTTTTTTATAGTGGAAAAATTCATTATTTTTTAAATGAAATGATACTTTAGGGATGTATACTAAAGAAAAACAAACAAGCAAAGTGTAATATCAATACAAAACACCAACATTTGCTATGGAATTATTTAGCTATTTTCTGAGGGGCATACAGATATTTTTGCCACAAATTTGAAGGGAAGCTCCATGTACCTCTAAAACTCAGGAAACAAAGTCTAGGCATTAAAATACTCCTTGTTAAACCCCTTTTAAAAATATTGCATACTGGGTGCATCTACACATGCAATTAGCCTGTTGCAATAAACTCCAGTGCAGTTTGTGTTGGATTTTATTGCTCCCAAGTGTAGCATTTACACGTGCACCTGGAACCACAGCACATTGAGCTGTGGCGCAGATGCCCCAGCTGGCGGGGGACCTGCAGGGTTAGCCTGCCAACCTGAAGCTGCTCCACCCCAGCTCAACATGCTGAGGAGGGGCTGGCTAGGGCACAAGGGTGCTACAGTGTGGTACTAGCCGGCAAGCATCCCCAGTCACCATAAGCAGAGGGAGAAAATATTATTTGGGCGGCTGAGTACACACACAGGCACAGACACACACATACACACAGCCCAGCAGGTAAGTCTGTGGAGGGGAAAGGGTGCGGGGACAGGGAAGGTGCATGGGAGGGGAGAAGATTGAGGCCTCCACAGTGAGGGAGGGAGTGGGGCAGAGGCAGGAGCAGGAGCTGGGGTGAATGGGCCCCGTACGGGTTGTGTGACAGTCAGAGCCTGGGCAGCTCGTCCAGGGGCGGGGGCGGGAGGAGGCATGGTTCCCCACCACTGTGCGCACCACAGGGGAGGCACAGGGGACATGTGCCCCACAGATTTGTGCATGGGGCAGGGGTGGGCTGCCACTGTGGGCTGGGGCTCTGCAACCCACTTCCTCAGGATCTGTGTGATGTCATGTACCTGCTGCTGCCAGGCTGCGCTGCGTCCCCTGTCTGCTCGGCGGTGGCAGGCACATGGCGTTGTGCAGCTCCCGAGGTAGCAGCAATGGGTAACAGAGCCCAGCCCCCAGCGGCAACCTGCCTCTGCCCCACACAGAGATCTAGAGGGCACGTGTCCCCTGTGCCTCCACCACAGGATAAATGTACAGTGGTACATATTCCTCTTGGTTTCTCCCATTTACCTTTATGCATCGTGTTGGGAAGAAGCAGAATTTTAGTTAGCACTATTTCTTAATGTTCAAGTATACTCACATATGCAAACTACTTAAAACACAGTTTCAAAATAATAATAAACACAGGGGAAGTTAAAATAGAGGTAAAATACAGGTTTTTCCCACTGACATTATAGTAAAGAAATGAATCATTACTATTAACACAGTAGTGTCAATCAGGATTGTTTTTCAGAGATACAAGATAAATAATATAAATCTCCTAGTTGAGCAGAACTAGTTATTTTCTCAGAGATGTTTTACTTATAGAATTAAAACCTCTAAAAAGTCAAGGTTTTTATTCTTGGCTGCATATTTCTTCAGCAGCTTTACCTATCAATAGTTTTTTGCATATTTTCCCAACTCGTAACAACTTGGATTCGTTTGTTATGCACTGGTATTTAAGCACTGTCTATGAGATTGTTACAGCTGTACAAACATTTCGACACTTCATGCCAGCACTCAAGACATGCCGACATAACTGGTGCTGGTTATAGGAAGTTTGAACGTTCCTTAATTTCAACAGTCTTACTTATTAATAAAATGTGTACCTGCTCCCCCAAAACATAATAATTTAGCCTTGTTGGGCGTACACTTGATAATATTTGTGCACACATTCCAACCCTGATAGATTTGTCCAAAATGCTTAGTAAAGCTGTACAGCCTTATTTTTATTTTATTTTTCTTGCAAGAGAGATGTCTTTACTCAGAAGTACAATAACAATTTTGCTATTCTATTTAATTGTAAAATTGACAGTACCAGAACTTCCCTATACCTGTTTTGGAATCAATGTCTGGACCAAAGAGCTGCTATCCTGGACTTCCAGTCTTCAGGTCTACCACATTTTAGCTGTAGGTTGCTATAAAGTAAATACAGTAGATCCCAACGGTATGATGAAAAAATCTATGTTTCTTCTCTGATTTCAAAAAATTAGTGATCTGCAAACAAAAACCGTTCTTTCATACCATGAGGTCTTCCTATTGGTGCTGCTGAGCAACCAGTGGTGATCTCACATCATATCTCCTGTTTAAGGTCTAGATAAACCTTGATTGATGAACAGGTGTGGGGGGCAGGCTGTAGAAGCTGTTACAGGGATCTGACTTACCTCCAGGAAGTAAAATCAAACACCCATGCCTGAATTCAGGCCTTACTGTGGGCATGCTTTGGATATTACCTAAGGGACACATTTCTGGACCCATCTCAGCATGGTCTAGACTGAGGACTGAAGTTACTGGGGAGCCATCAGATTGTTGGAATATTAACTCCTGCACTACTAATGATTACTTCTTATTCAAAATCTGCAGCTTCTGTGCCTAATCTTCATAGCCAGGAATTCCGATCGCTGGGTGCATCTACACATGCAATCAATGTGAAGCAATAAACTCTGATTCTTTTTGCTCCGGAGTGTATTGCTCCCAGGCATGCTGTTTGAATGTGTAACCAGAACCACAGCACACTGAGCCGGGTCAGAGCAGCTGCAACTGGCACGGGGCCCTGGGGGTCAGACTGTCAACCCAGGGCTGCTCTGACCTGGCTCAATGTGCTGTGGAAGGGCTAGCTGGGGCATGATAGTGCTCCAATGTGGGGCTAGCCAGCAGGCAGCCGGGGCAGCATCTACATGTGTGCAGCTGTGGAGTCAAAAACTCCACAGCAGGATAGTACTTGTAAATACAAGCTCCCCTGTTGCATAATTAATTACTCCAGCCTAATAGGGGCACTCGTGTAGATGTGCAACATTTACTGCAGAGCTAATTAGTCTACTCCACAATAAATGTCTCATGTAGACACGTCAACTGATATCTTCATTCTTCCACCCCTGACCTCTGTATTTGTTTGTAACACTAATGTATTGTATTTCATCTTCTTTCAGATTGTACAACCTTCTGGGATGGCTATCAAAGTCAAAAAAGCTATTGTGATATATACCAGCTGAGGTTCTTTTTATATGACATAATTGATGTTGTTTTCCCAAAGGTCTATCAAGTTATGAAAATACATTCCATGCAGTGGGTTGCAACATTTGTTTCTTGTTAATCCCTGATTCTAAATTCTCTTCTTAATTCTGTTTTTATAGTGAACTTTGTGAACATTTGCCAAGTCCTCATACTAGCCTTCTCTTGGGAGATGCCTACATGAATATTCAAGAGGTTAGCATGAATTTGTCCAATAAATCTGTAGCAAATTCAGAAAAAAGATACATTTAACTAGAAAGCTGGATTTCTTATTAACCATAATAATACTGAGCACTCCTATAGCATAACAAATATAACTGAGTCACTGGCAAAATATTTCTTTAACAGTTCATGTTAAATATGAAAATAACTCCAACTTCTTTTTTCTTAGCCAGAGAAAGCTGTGGAAGTATATGAAGCAGCTCAAAGGAAGAATCCTTTGGATGCAGCACTGGCCAGAAAAATTGGACAAGCATATGTGAAAACACATCAATATAATAAGGTCTTGAACATTCTTTTTTCTCTTGAGTATTTTAAGTCGTAAGAACAAAGAAAGAAAACTAATAAATTAATAATCACAAATCACAAATGAATATGGTAATTTGACCTAGTGTAATTTGGCATTTGGAATAATCTGTTGAATCTTTTTAATTGCTATATAGGCTATTAATTACTATGAAGTGGCTCTAAAGATGAGTAAGCAGGATTTCTTGTGCCATGATCTTGCTGGACTCCTCCTCAAACTCAAGAAGTTCAGCAAAGCAGAAAGAGTTTTGAATCAGGCTTTGGACCATGACTTTGGTAACAGTTTTCATCATGTATACTACACTTGTTGTGTTCTGTGAATTATTTACAATTCCTTATATGAATTTTGTCATAAACAAATATTCTACGCAACTTATATTTTAGACTCTCAAGCTTTCAACAAATGTTTAAATTATCTTGTGTGAGAGCTGTCTTTCAAGCCTTGCTTTTCCATATGTGGGTGGGTAGAATGGTGTAAATGCTTCAACATAGGCCCTAGACATCCATTCTTTTTCTTGATAGCCAAGAACGTTAGGCTAGAAATATAATATATTGTCATTTTTAATCTTTTAGTTAATGACTTGCCTTATATGATGAAAGATGTCAAGAGCCTGATTTTACTAGCAAAAGTTTACAAAATCAATAAACAAGAAGAAGTGGTGGGAACTTTGAAGAAGGTAATTGCTAAAAGATATATATGCTTTCTATATTGCTAGACATTTTCCTTAATAATATATTCGTATAAAGGGTTTGAATAATTTTTCAGAGGCTTTCAACATATACAGTTTCCATGACTGTGATTAGAATTAGAGTTCAGCTCTCCATTCCCTCAATTCATAGCTCAAATACTTCACTATGCACTGCAATAACTATGAAGAGTACTAATAGGCTTTGAATATATTCATGATCTCCTTTTTTGAGCCTTATTCTAACTAGTATTTATACTCTTACACTTCCCAGAAACACATCCTTGAAAAGCAGAAATCATAACTGTCATGGACCTTAAGCTGTGGAATTCCTTGCCTTTTGATTCCATTCATTCTCAACAATAAAAGAATAATAGCGCATATTATCTGCTGCTGTAACACTATCATTGACTTAAATGGAGTTACACCAGCAAATAATCTGGCTTTAGTGTTTTTTACTTCATATGTATAAAATTTTACTGATCATCTTTCTATATATGATGTTCTCTGTTTATCCTTTTTTCTCAGAGTGGTAGTGTGTTTTTAATATGGTTGTGAGTTATTTCAAGATATCCACATCATCTGGGAATAACAAGGGGTTTAAAATGTATGACTCTATTAATTAATTATTCTTTATAGGTAGTCAAAGAATATCTTGTTTCACATTAAAATGTTATATTATGCTAAAGGAAAATGTGTCCATAAAAGTTAGATAGAATATTAGATCCTGAAAAAAGCATCCCTCTGCCCAGGGTTAGCACAGTCATATTCCCCTCTTCAGTGCCGCTGGAATCCTTAGGCTTCTGTTACCTCTTTAAACGGTGGTGGATTTCATCCCTTTAGCATGTTCACCTGGTACTGAAACAAGCAGATGAACCAAGAACTATATCCAAGAAAGGACTTACTTTTGTAATGCTTAATTTTTGCCCGCTCTGCTGCCTGGTGGAATTCATAGTTCTAAGTGAGGTGCCAGAGATTCCCACATAGTACAGGAAGGTTCACAGAAGTCAGTAATGTGAGGATGGGGAGCCATCTAACTAAACCAGTAGGAAATGC